TACCCAAGGGTACTTTGGCATGCAGAGTGGATCAGCAAGGGATTTAACTACCACCCTTGCAGTTAGTAGATGACCTACTCTAGGCCCTGAACCTCAGCCATTCTGAAAGTAAACGATTGTCCTTCAAATTATGCTGTATATAGTATAGTATAGTGTATAGTCTAAATGAAATAATCTTCTGCAAAATCCATAAGAGGTTTGTTTGTCTCCTCTTCTCCACACCTGGCCTGGCAGCGGCATTTGTGTGGGAGATTGCATCACCTACAGTCTTTTGTGAGGCTCATCATGTTGTTATGGCTTCTTACCTTTATCAGACATATTCTTATTTCAACCTAAGATGTTTGGTTGTTGACCCTCATCTTTGTGAACTGAGATAATGGTTGCAGGTTGGGCAAGCCGCATGAGAATGAAGAAACCATAAGCTTGCTTTTCAACAAGTACAATTAATCAGACAGTTTCAGGCAATCATTGCAACCTGCACAACTTTGCCATTTGTTTATGGTTTATATCTTTGTTCAGATGTTGGGGGGAGGGGGTCCCTTTTTTTCCACTTTTTAAACTAAACCTCTTCCATGCATGAGAAAAAAGAAGATTAGAATAAACAAAGTTATGAGAGTCCCGTTGGTTATGTTACACAACAAAATTGTCTTTTGTTTAAGAAAAAAACTCAAGTTTTTTTTATTTACAGGTCAATTATTTCATATTATTTGTTTGTAGCCAAACATGTAATATTTTAGTTTATGGTATAAATAATTTTAAACCTGCTGTAAGAGATAATTTGCAGGCCCAGGCACTAATTTCATTTTAATTCAACAGATTTTTTTAGTTACTGTATTCACATATCAGTTGTTTTGTTCCATCAAGTTACAGGATGTAAAGATTCAAAGTAATCTGACTAAAATAACACAGTTACAAAAATAAAACAAACATAAAGTCATTATTTTCCAGATTTTGAATGAGGGGGAGATCGTGGCTCAAGAGTTGGCAGTTCGTCTTATAATCGGAAGGTTGCTGGTTCGAGCCCCAGCTCCGACAGTCTCGGTCGTTGTGTCCATAATGACCAAGACTGTCAAGACACTTCGCTCGTTGCCTACTGGTGGTGGTCAGAGGGCAGGGTGGCTGTGGCTACAATGTAGCTTGCCATCACCGAGTAGCGGTTTTTGATACGGGCGACACGGGCGGTTGGCCGGGGCAGAATGATATGACAGAAAATCATATCATATGCAATAACTTTGCAACACAACAAATCAGCTTGTCAAAACATAGCACAGAGAGCACACAATGACAGAGATGGTGAAAATAAAGGAAATCTCCTGTCAATTATGGAACTACGAGCAAAGCACGACCCTGCTGTAAGAAAAAAAATGACAAGTCAGAGAAATGTCACATACCTTGGACATGCTACACAAAATGAAATAATGGATTGCCTGTCTGAAATGGGCCTTTCCTCAATAATTAGTGAAGTTACACAAAGTGAGGCTTTTATTATAATGGTGGATGTAACCAAAGACCTCAGTAAGAAGCACCAGATGTCTTTTGTAATAACATATTATTATAAAGGGTCAGTGTGTGGGTGCTTCCTCAACTCTAAAGCTGCAGAGCATCTGGATGCTGCAGCACTTTCACAGAAAATTATATAAATACTGCAGAAGTATGGGCCTGACTACAGAAACCACCTTGTGGTTTAACACTAACCTTGTAAATGTTGGGGCCTCAGTAATGAGTGGAAAGAACACAGGTGTGCAGGCACGCGTTAAATTTGATGCACCATTAGCTTTTTATGTTTGCTTTAATGCACATTGTTTAAGTTTAGTATTAGTGGACAGTGTGAAATGCATTCCTGAAGCAGACTGTTTTTTTTTTCTTTTTTCCAATAGCTTTATGTTTTTGTTTCTGGTACCAAAAGTGACCAGAGGTAGAAAGGGAACATATTTAAGGTCCACCTAGAGAGTTACAAAGGCTGATAGAAACACAGTGGGTATGAAGGTACAATGCTTACAGAACAGTGAGGGACAGACTACCTGCCATTGTACGTCTGCTGAAAGAGTTATCTGAGGAAGGGAATGGTGACAGAACTGTACAGACAAGAGGTCTGTTAGCCTAAATACATCTAAATGTTGTCTTCTTATAACTTTGTTTTGTGTTTGGTGAGGTCAAACATCTGTCTGATATTTCGCCATCCCCACAGCTCAGTTTAGTCACAGCTGTTATTGACGCTCTTGTTGAAACACTGGTGGTAACACTGGTGATGCATCTCCAGGCCGTCACGTCACACCAAGCTCTGGCTTAGAGCCTACTATATTTCCACTGCAGTAGTTCAAAGACAGATCAGCACAGACAAGGAATCATTTCAAACTGGTACATTCCTCCAATCACTGACATGCTTCGGTCTGAGATGAAGAGAAGATTATCATCAGGAAACTGTTATTATGAAAGGTATACAAGCTTTAAATCTCAATTTTTTCCATTTTCTGCACAGTACACACACAGCAACATCAACAACCGGAAATACAGATTCCCCAACTAACATGAATTCTTGAAAAAAAAAAAGAGCGACTGTAAAACATAAACACAAGTTTATTAGAGCTTATCATGAGCCGCATAAGGAGCTGTTTCGTGAACTATTCAAACCGTGCAAAATAGCACTTCCATTACCGTGACCTGCGTCATGTGAGCACAGCTTTTCAGTGCTCACATCTTCTTCAAGGAACACGATGAGTGACAACCGACTCAGCAGTTTGGGGGCATTAAGCACTGAGGCAAGAAGGGCTAGAGCCATGAACCTTGATGATTTTGTGGATGCTTTTAGACATGAAAATGATGGAGCAAAACTGTTTTGAATAAATGTGATACCAAAAGATGGTTTTGTTTTGCACCAGTAAACACGTAGCATTGAAACCCGTGAAGGTCTCTGTGTGGGGTTTGAAATTTCAAAGTCGTATTTCCAGTGAAATAACTACTGATCAAAGTGATGGTAGAATTTGTTTACTATATTATTCACAGGTATTTGATCCTGACAGATCACTGTTGCATCTCAGGGCCAACACATAGACAGACAACAGTTCACAGTCTTACATGATCCAACACGTGTCTGTCTTTCCTGATCAAGTTTACTCTTAAAGTGAACTCCATTCTTGGAGAGGGAATCTTAAGATGCTTGTGCTCAGCTCTGCTGAGAATCATTAAAGCGGTGGTTGGGACTTCTAGTCAATCAAATAATCGATTAAAAACAGATTATTATGGATTTCAAAATCTTATTTGGTTTTCATTAGGAGTGCAACGATACTCGTGTAGATATTGAACCGTTAGATACAGTGCTTTGGGTTTGGTACGCATATGTATCGAACAATACAAAATTTTTAATTTATTTTATCAACTTTTCTTCTGACGATGCTGTCTGTGTTGAGCGCTCAGTGGATCTGCGTTCGACTACTCCGCCTAGGCTGCACTGTCGAGCGCAGATCCACTGAGCGCAGCGCAAGCTAGCAAGACAGAAGCTAAGCTCGTTGCAAGATGGCAAATTGAACCTCCCCCACCCTCATTCAGATCTGGCGTTTGGAATTATCTTGGTTTTCATATGAAGCATGACCCTGAAGGTAAGCGCGTCATGGACAAAAGTAAAACAGTATGTCGGATGTGCCACGCAATGCTCAATTGGTGGGAACTAGTGCGTTAGCGCAGTTAGCTTGTTAACGTGTTGACGCGCACAAGGCGATCCGCGGTAGCTCGTTAACGGAGATTTGCCACGTTTTGGCGTTAATGTCATTTTAACGAGATTAACGCTGACAGCACTAGTGGGAACACAACGAATATGACTGCACATTTACTCCGACATCATCCTAGTGCAAAGACAAGTGGAAGCAGACAACAAGCAGCATGCTACAAACTTTACCCGAGTCATTTAGACAGCCGTTAGCACAGGATTCTCCTTATGGGGACCTGATATGTTTAATATGCTGCTGAGAATATAGCCCAGAAGAAGCTATAATATAGCTTTTATTTTGGAAAGAGCCATTTCTCTGTAATAAACTCTCTTTTTCAAAGATGAGGGATTTCTCAATCAGATTTATTATTTTATTACTTTGTTGTTTCAGCAACATTGCATTTAAAAACTGTACTTTTGAGTTAAAATATATATTTATAATTTTAATAAATGACAAATTAAAAAAGCATGAACAATTTTTTTGTATCGAAAAAATATCGAACTGTGACACCAAAGTATTGAACCGAACTGTGAATTTTGTGTATTGTTGCACCCCTAGTTTTCATATATAATATAATATATTTTTTCAGTGAAATAAACTTTAATAGCAGGAAATTAACTATGCATATAATTCTTTTCTTTCGCTCCTTTCCCCCGTATTATTCAGGTAACCTATATTATACAAAATCATAATAAAACTGTAAAAATTCTGTTTCTGCTGTGCCACCCCAATATTTTTAGTTGCCCCCATATGGTTAAGCCTATAAAAAAATTGTGGGGGCCCCCTGCAACAGATCCGTTGGGTAAAGAGTAATTTATTGTCCACTGTCAATAATTTATTATTCTCTTTTTACTTTTTTATTAAACACTGTGTGTGCACCAGGTCATTTTAATCCCACTTTATAATCTGTTATACTGTGCTATTTATATTACTGTTCCATTTTTCTTTCATTTATAGTTTTTGTAAATTATATCATTTTATTAGTCATTTTAAAAATGTATACATTGTTTATTTTTGCATTTTAATTTAACTCTTTTGTTTTTGTAATATTGCCAAAATGGTTACAGTATATCTTACTGAATTATATACCACTGGAGAAGTTTGTTGTATGTTGTGTTTAACTTGGATTTTAGCCGTTGTCTTAAAGGACTTTCCCAACTTTGGGGCAAATAAAGTATACATTGTGTTTTCTTCGTACAATATTCATGCGATTGTGAACTGTGCATTCATTAAGTAAGTATAGCTTCGCTGGTTGAGGTCACGGGGCTATTAATGAGCGGCAGCTGTCCCACCCAGGGTTAGATAATCCAGTCTGGGACCAGGCTGTGACTTCAGGCTGACGTGCCGCTCCAGCCCAGCCCATCCTGCGATGCAGCGCCGCTGACGCTGTCCGCTCCGCAGTCTGTCGGTGAGAAAACAAGCCTCGCTCCTCCACAGCTGCACATGCGTTTCACCGAGAACAACACCACCGCCAACCCCGGAGACGAGGTTAGTGCATTAAATTGTTATTTTTGTTGTTTTCTTTTGTGAGCGATTTGGTTAGAGGTGCGGAGGGAAAAGGGCTCCGCTCAGCAGCATCGCGTCGGAGGCAGAAAAATGATGCCTAGCTCGATCAGATCGGGAGGGACGGAGGCTCGGCTTTCAGACGATGGTCACCCTCAAACCGCTGTGTCGTGTTAGAAGACGCCTTGTTTTTACGATTAAATGACAGTTTCAGTGGATGGATGTGCCCGTTTGCCTTCTGACGTGATAAACAAAGATTTATTTTAATCGCAGCAGCACAAAGGCAGCGTGGTAACGGTCTAACACATCATCCATGTTCGATCATCTATCCGCGGCTTCAGGGGGGCCTTGGGCTCCGGAGTGAAGGGCGCGATGTTCGGTAATAAACTGCGACTGCTCGGGATCATCTGCACTGGTGACACCAGCGGCCTGCACCGTGCCATCACCATATTGATCCCTTATTAGTAGAAACAACGGATACGCGAGCAGCGTCAGCTTAGGAAGATTGTAAAGGGATGACTTCCGCCAAAGATTTACAAAATAAAAGCTTGGCTGAATCGAAGAACTATAAACGTGTACAGCAAACACTATTAAAAGGCAGGATATGTGTATAGGATGGATCAAGAGACAAAAATACAATAAATAAAAATATAAAGAAAACAGCATCAGTTCAACTGATGGAAATATGAAGTTTGTATTTTTGAAAAGGAAATGTACCGTACCATGTAAAAAATTATCAAACTGTTTTTTTGTTTTGTGTTGTTCAGACCCATTATTAAAAGGTTCAAGACAGTAAATTCTTGAAGCTAAATAGGTGAAAACCTTGCAAATGCTCAGAACTGCAGTAAACATAAATAACATGGAACTAAAACTTGATTTTTATCTACGTTTGATCTGATATGTGATGGATGGATCCATTTTTGCCATAGACCCTACTGAGGTTGGTTACTGATACTCAGAACAAGGCTTCATATCCTTAGTATTGATCTGCCCATCCCTACTATGCATCAGAGGTAATGTAGAACACAAGGAAATGGGAGATCTAAAATGTTATCGATGCACTGATCTGAGATTTGGATCAGATGTCCGCTGGACGCTGACTCAAAAAGACAGGCCAATCTGGTCGTCAGAGCATCGATGGGAAAAAAGAGGCAAAAAATGAAGTAAACTGTAAATATGTTTTTCAAAACACTCAAGTAACCATAGTGGATTCAGTTTTATAGAGTTGCTCTACTGTAGCATGCTCTCTGAGGCTTTTATTTTTTAAGGCTTCTTCCTATTGCTGCTTTTTTTGTGGATTGTTGTTGATCTGTTGAGGTGCATTACATTACATTATGCGACATGGTGGGGATGCAGATAACTCATTTGAAAGGCATTGTTGTGTCACGGTCACATTAATGTATAAGTTTTACCAACTAAATTATTACATAATGAAAGAAAATGCCATAAAGTGACGACACTGATCATTCTCTCAGGGATCACTGTGTGATGTCTTGGTGACATCTTTTCTATTTTGTGGTGTTTTGTTTAACAGGTCAGTTGTTATTTGATTCAGTGATTAACTGAATACTTGTTTTGGACTCCAGATGTTTTGTCTGCATTGTTTATGCAATAATAAGTCATGCAAGATGTTAATACACCAGGTGGTCTGCTTGTCCTGGTGCTCTTTTAGATAACCTGATAATCTCAGGAGGGAAGCAGCGGAAGGGAGAAAGCTCAGCGTGTCTTACGTAATTTATTTTTTCTGCCTTGCTTTCTAATCTCCAGAACCTGAATCCATTTGTTTACAGCTAGCTGTCAGCTTTATGCAGCCCTACTGACCTCTGCAGTTCTGTCTCACTTATACTCTCTATTTTCTTTGTTTTTATCAGTATTGTATTTAAAAGAAACTTTTGTTTATTTTGTAGCCTGTACTGTTGTGGGATTACTACGCTCTTCCTGTGGGGCACAGATGATTTTCCTTTTAGGATTATAGCTGTAGTAGTAACAGTTAGACTTAGAAGGCTGTGGTAGAGCTTGTTGCAGGAGCTGTGCTCACATTTTTATTAGTAGTACTAATAATAAAATTAGATACTCGTAAGAAATTTTAAAATACATTTTTTTTCCTGCTGGTTGCGTACATTGATTCAGGTTAGGTACTCTGTTAGAGATTATAGAAGTAGATACACAAATATGCAGAACCTAAAATAAAATGTAACAATTTTCTCACGATGAAAGCACTGAAGAGTATTACGACTGCCACTGTTTTTAAAACATTGCCCGAACTGCCCTTACATCCTGCTGCAGCGAAATTTACTGAACTCGCTGATTAAAGACAGAAAGAGATCAAGGAAGAGCCGTGAAGATCAGCAGGCTTAGACTGATGCTTATAGCGTCAGAGTATTAACCTAAGTCAACCCGAGGGCCCAAACCGTGTCATTACACTCATACTGGGGTGCAGCTATAGAATCAACATAAGTTTTACAATAGCAGTGTGTTTATCTGCTGTTCTTTAAGTTGCACAATATGTTAAAATGTTCCAACTGGCCATTTCCAGCCCATCAACAGGTGATTGTGTAAGCTCTGATTGCTGATAAATATGTTGTGGTGGATATGCTTTTTATTCTAAAGTCACGTGTTTCCAGAACTCTGAATTTTGGGATTCAAATTGGTTGTTTTGTCTTATGTAAAGTTGTTGTTGACTGTCAGAGCAGCTCACACTGTTCACAGTGAAAGCCACTTAAAGCAGCAGCGTGTTAGCAAAGCATGAATCTGTGCCGACTCCGTCTGCGTCACCAGTCAGTGTGAAGGAGGACCTGTGACCGCTGAGCTAATCGTCATGGCATTACAGGACTAAAGCCTCAGCGTACTGGTCATTTCTCGAAACTGGCGGATTCACTGAGTCAGGGCGATGTGCCTCCTCTCGCTGTTCAGCTGCCTGTCCTCATCTTCAAGTGTGTGTGTGTGTGTGTCTCTTGTTATGTAACTGAAGGCCTGCTGAGGCCGGATGTGAATAGTTTCTGTGTGTGTGTGTGCACATGTGTGGCTTTCCTATGTGTTAGTGTGTGCTGTGATTTGAGCTATGCTAAGTATGTAAAAAAAACATGCACAGACTTGACGCCCGTTTCCCAGCGTGTAATCGAGTTTTCCTGAATAGAGGATTTCAGCACTCTGTTATCTGCAGCTGCACTCAGCCACACAAACGCTTGTTTTGGAGACTCTCCAGTTTGTAAAGAACAAAGTTAGTTTTCAAAAACATAATTTGGAAACCTTTTCAAGCCATGCCAGCATCTCCCAGTCATCTCTTACTGAGCTTCTTTAGCTCATGTTTGTGTAACTCCGTGCTCAGAGTAGACTGTGCTGTTCTTGCTTATTAAGATCTGCAACCATAACATATAATAATTGGCCTCTCTAAATTTTGTCTGTTTGCAGCTTGAAATGTATATCTAGAGTTGTGAGGTATATTTATCGTAAAAATTGTTGCTTAAAATCAGAATCCATTGTTTTAGAGTGAATCTGTGACAGTAAGCTTGTAACTGAGGCATTTATCCCCCAACAACTCAGCATTTAAAGTCAAGGAAACGTGTTAAGAACTTGATTCTTCACGGCTGATCAGCCGAGGCCGCGTGTAGCCTCTGCAGGCCTGTGGTGGTTTGGCCTGGAAATGAACCTCCTTGTGATTTTGATGCAACATCTCTGTTAGGGCTTTTGCAAGTGTTCTGCTGATCAGGGTCTTTTTGTTTAAAGCCTTTGGCTTCCCAGGAAAAGGGCAATACTCAAATTAACAAAGTCCATTGACTAAAGTACTATAATTTAGTAATATCTGAGGCAGATTTATGACTCCACACAGTTGCATATTGGTAGTGAACTGGGCTTTTGGAGCCAGAAGTGACCATAACTTGACCAGAGGGTGGACGGCTAAGCTGTCAGCCAATGCTAACAAGCTAGGTTAGCAAGTTGCAAACATTAAGTTTCAGATCAATCTATTAGGAATGAGAGAAAAAAATAACCCTGTGTTCAGTAAATACGAAGGGGGAAATTAACTCTAGAGAACTAAGCTGTTTTTAGTACCAGGCTGTAAACGTACTTTTTAAAGCTGTAAAATCAGACATTTTAACACAGGAGTCTGGTGGGATGATTTTCAGAGCCAGCCTCAAGTGGCCGTTAGAAGAACTGCAGTTTTTGGCGTTTATGCTTCAGCTTGGTTATTTTGGCACTTGGGAGCAATGTACAACTCTACAAACCTTCTTTATTTTTTCACATTGCTTTAATTTCAGTTAATTAAACTATTAGCTCCAACTTGGCTCAGATTAGTCGGTATTGTTTAAAGTACAGGAAAAAGTTGAACAGGTCTGCGTGTCGCTGATAGTCTTCAGGGGAAAAAAGGAATCATGCAAGATTGGAATCAGCAGGTATCGTTAAAAAAATTAAACTAGAACTGGTGAAGAAAATCTCTGATCTAATTATGCAATAATAAAATACGCACGTCTTACTTTGAAGCACATTTTACTGATAGTGTTTTTACGCTGAGAAGTCCTTTTTAGTCTTCATAAACCACTGACTGTGTGAAATGACTTTTATTTAAGTAAAACTATGAAACAGAATCACACAGCCGGCCGTGGAAGGAAAGCAAAGCAGAACCAGCACAAAGTGTAAGGACACGGTCACAGTCGGTGTCAGAAAGGAAAATGGCTGTGCACGTCGGATATGCATCTTTCCCTTTTGAAATTTTTGAGTCGAACGCATCAACACAAGCACATGCGATCGTGCACCCACACAGCTTTTGCCCTCCAGCTTATTATGGCAGTTTTGTTCCTTTCATGTCTCTCGGCCTGCAATGCTTCGCTGATTTAAAGGCACCCAGACGGCTGTTTGGGAGAGTTGTGAGTTTGTGTGCGTGTGTTTATTGCTGAAGCAGATGAATGTTGCCCGCCCTGCATGCTGATTTGTCTGACTGTGAAAGAGCTGCTGGGACACCATCAGAGTACTATGGACATTTTCACTGT